AATGTCCTGAGGGATTAACCTTTCATCTTCACATCCACAGGCTACATCAAATCACACGGTCTGATAAAAGCTGAACGGCACTATTACGATTATTAATCCATAAGGGGTTGACTGTAGTCCAAACAAAGATAGAGATAATAATTCTAGTGGTGAAACCAGCACTGATTTACCCTTCAGAGCCTGGAGCTGATCATTTAAAACTGTTTTCCATCTGTAAAATGGAGATGAAATTGCCTCACCACTTTGAAGGCAAAGTTCTGAGCAGGGCTTTGGCTATCCCACGCCTCTTACCCTTTTATACAATTATACGTTCCACAGACAGCATTCACTCTCCTGCTCCTCACAATACTTTGCTTAAATTATTGCTCCTTTATAGAGGGATGTCCTGAGTAAGGAACTGAGAAACATAACCTTGACACCTGAGGGATTTATCTCAGCCCAGTTACAAAAGACTGATGACCACACTTTGTGACTGACACCACTCACTTGCCTTCTATCTGGCAATAGGACAACACTGAATCAGATCTAGGTGAAAAAAGAGGTTGAGGACACCTGGACCCCACTTTATCCCAAGATAGAACATGCTCTTCATTCACAGCTTTTTGTTGACTCTTTTTTACAATCATTTCAAAGTTATGAGCAGTTGAGACTTGAAAGCAAGGTTTCCTGGAAAGCAGTGGTAGCTTCTCATAGATCATTCAAGGGACTTTGAGAAAAAGAGGAGCTTAAAGGCACACAAACCTTTCATTTGGCCATACATCATTGCCAGTTCAGTTTTCTTACTCTGAGGAAAGGAAAGGTTCGTCCCTTCTTTCTTCCTTTCTACCTTTTGCAGTTTAACCCAGAGAAACTAAAGATTTCAGAGGGTTTTTTTTATTTTTCCACTGTGGAGTGTGCATGTTTTCCCTTTCTTCACACTGAAACTTTTCAATACTTCTTTACCCCTGGAAGCTTGACAATGTGGCAAAAGGAACAATGGAAGTAACACAGAAACAGAACAAGAAATCAGCTGGAAGTTTTTCGTTCCAGTATTCTATCATATACTGAAGGAAAAAAGGGAAAAAAGGGGTTAAAATATGATCTTCAAACACCACTTAAATTCTGAAATACTGAGATTTCTGGTCTCAGTGAAAATCAGAGGGATGAGAGAAAAAAAAAATCACAAAGACCTTAACAGAGACAGTCTTTTCTTTAAATCTTTACATTTTTCTTTAAACTATTTTTAAACTGAAGTTTTTTACTAAATGAAACAGATTAGAATTAGTAAATTGCTGTGTAAATTATACAAATAGCAGGTTCAGCCTGACACTGTGCTTTTGACAAGTGGATTCCTCATTAATAACATAACAGCGGTTTTATGTTGCAATTAACTTTTCCCAACCCAGACTTAACAGAATATTTCTTATTCCTCTTACGAGACTTTCCCCTATTCTGCCATTAGCACTGCATTACCAGCACAGGAGATTCAGAAATACTTTAAATAAGCAACTAGAGTCTTCTCTGCTTAGGTCTCTCCTAGATCCACCTTTATCACACTAGTAGACACAGGAGGGAGCTCACACAACCCCATTCACACTGAGGTTACGTCTCTCCCTGCAGCAAGTGATTTAACATCTCTAATCCTCAATTCAAGGTTCTTTTAGGTCTTGGATTTAGATTTGCACACCTGCTAGAATAGAGGTCTCCTTTTTTAGGTAGCAGAGCAACAGATATGTGCCCCCCTCTATATCAGAAATTGAAAATCTGTACTGAGTTGAGACCAGAGGGATGAAATCTTTGCTCACCCGATTTGGCAGTCACAGATGAGGGTGCACACACACCTGTAGTATAACACTGCTCTTAGTACTCCTGGCTGAACTTTCAGTTCATGAGTTCATAAGTGCAGCAAAAGCCATGTCATGGGGCAGAGGGAGCAGGGCTTTCTTCTATTCACAGAGGCTTTCTTTATTTGTGCAGCCACTTAGGCAGAGCTCTTGAAGGCAATGCCCACTGACCCTTTATATTCCTTTCTACAACAGTTTTTATTCCCCTTATTTTTATTCTCTTTCCAATTGCCCTTCATAAGTATATTTCATAGAATTATAGAATGGTTTGTATTGGAAGGGACCTTTGAAGATCATCTAGTCAACCCCCCTGCCATGAGCAGAGACATCTTTAATGAGATCAGATTGCTCAAAGCCCTGTCCAACCTGATCTTGAACACTTCCAATGATGAGGTAGCCACAGCCTCTCTGGGCAACCTGTTTCTGTGATTCACAACCCTCATAAAAAACCGTCCTCCTTATGTTCAATATAAAACCTACCCTCTTTCAGTTTAAAACTGTTGCCCTTTGTCCTGTCACTACAAGCCTTGGTAAAAAGTCCATTTCCAGCTTCCTCATAAACACCCTTTATATATTGAAAGGCTGCAATAAGGCCTTTCCAGACCCTTCTCTTCTCCAGGCTGAACAACCCCAACTCCCTCAGCCTTTCCTCATAGGAGAGGTGCTCCAACCCTCTGATCATTTTTGTGGCCTCCTCTGGACCTGCTCTAACAGGTCCATGTCTTTCTTGTGCAAGGGCTCCCAGATTTGGACACAGAACTCCAGGTGGGGTCTCAGAATGCAGAGCAGAGGGGGAGAATCACCTCCCCCAACCTGCTAGCCATGTTTCTTTTTATCTTGTTTTCTTTTTATGGAGGCCAGGATCATGTTGAGTACTTCATCCACCAAAATAAAAATATTTGAATCTGGTACTTTAACCCAAGTTCACTTTCATCATTATAAATGAAGCAGAACGTAAGAATCCAAAATAAATTCTTACAGGCATCCAAAATTAATTCACGGAAGGGAGAATCTACAGACATAGCCTATACCAGCTGTTGTCAGCCGTTTTCACATCACACACTTGAGGTCAGGGAGCCCTAGAGGCTGCTTGTCATACAATTAAATGAAGGTTTTGATGAAATCACCTTGAAGTCAAGCAACTGTGAGCAGACACCAAGATTAAGTGTTTGTTCATTTGCCAGACTATGGCCAAAAAGAGCACATCATTTTATTTCAGCAGATATTTCTATAAAGAATGGAGTAGGCACTGACAGTATAGCCTATTATTCTACCTTTTCCTTCTTTTTTCAACATCAGCGGTGTCAGGTAAATTTTGGAGAGAAAGCTAGTTTTGTTCTAACTTCTTCAGAAGAGGTTTTGGAGGATGTGATTATTTACTGTATTTCTTTACAGTCCTCACAATATGAAACCCAACTTAGGCACTGTCTTTGAGCACCAGAGCAATAAAAGTCTGTAACAGCCACAGCACCAAGGATGAATCTGGATGCATTAGAAGATCTCAGCAGAAAGCGCATGTCCAAGAGCACATCATTACATGTAAGGAAAATTGCTGACTTTTAACTTCTTCCTTCTTTTCCTAATTTCTACTTCTCATGACTGATACAGGAATGTGATTATTAGCAACCTTCTTGCAAACCAGTGCTGGGATGCTGCTGCTAGTTGTCCTCTTTCCAGTTAAATCTATACAGAAGCCCCCAACTGGTGCATTATCTTGCAGGCTTCTCATCATTTGCAATGTGAGAACTGTCTTCATTTGAGGAAAAAAAAAGTCTGGCTTAATTTAATTTTTCATTTCTCCCTTTTCCTTGTATCTACAGGCACGATTTTTCTAAGAGGCCTGTTTTTCTGCATTTTGATGGTGTACTTTATACCCCTGGAGAGAACAGACATTCTACATTACCGTCTGAGCAGACTCAGCAGGGTGTCCAAGAGTGCAGATTTCTCAGGGTCTTCTCCTCTGCCTCATTCATTACTGAACAAATACCTCCAGAACTGAAAGTGTGAGTTAGCAACCCCAACTGCTCTGAATATACCCTGCTATGAGAGGAGCCAACAGAACATATGTGATATTCTTATCCCCTTCTTCCAGCAGATCCCAGAGGGTTTTGCAAACTATATCAGTCTTGAAGGGGAATGCAGGTCATACCTTGTTTTTTTTTAACGATTTAAAGGATTTAAAGTTAGAATAGGCTCAGCTGGTCAACTAAGATAGTATCAATGGCAAAGTGAACTAAAAAGCCCAGAATCTCTGCCTTCTGACAAACGCGTGGTCAGGTTTTCTGCACTTTTAATTCATTTCACTCACTGCCCTGAGCAGAGATCTAAAACTTACTTATTTCTGACAGGGACTGCACTTCATTTTAAAGGGGGATTTCTCCTCACTTATATGCTCCCTTTCCCCACTCTGCTGTCTCAGATGACAAATCTTATTCATTCTTAGGCCTACAAATTGTCTTTACACATATTCTACAACGCACCTCATCTTGCATGATGCATTGACCTATTCTTGCTTCGAATGAAGGACATAGGTGCCTGCAGGACTAGCATTAATACTATTTTGCATAGCAACTAATTACAAGGGTGTACTCAGAGAAGGTATGATCAGCAATTCCTTGTCAATATCTCCCAACAGATGTAATATTAAAGACTGGATTGTTACAATAGTGTCACTAACAAAAGGGTCTTGTGCTAGAAGTTGCCAAGGATCTTTTTTAAATATCTGAGCTCTGTTATTTAAATACAAGCTGCAACCCAAGCCTTGAGACATTGAAGTCTCAGACACCCAGGGTACAATGTGAAAATCAAGCCATTTCATGACCACTTAACATTGCACGCATGGCTGTGGCAGTATAATATAAACTTTCACTACTGCAAACTTCCCTGCCACACAAACCCACCTCCAGCCCCTTGCCCACCCTTGTTCACAGGGAGAAAGTACTCTTCCAGAGACAACACATTCAGACATGCAAGCTACCCTGATTTCTAGGTGTGCAAGCCCCAGACAAACCCGGCAGAGACTGAAGCTGTCCATTTCCTTGTAGAATGCTCACGGCATCTGCCCCCATGAAGTTCGGATTGTCACCACAACAGTTGCATTCTAAAAGCAGTTATCTCACCGCTACAACAGTAGGGATATATCTGCTATCTTTCTTTGACTGTTTTCCTTCTTATAGGGAAGAGATAGTGCAAGGAAACCTGAGGACAGTGAAGAGAACAGACAACATTTTTACTAGTTAGTCTATCTTGCCATTTTGCATTGGAGGAGGTGCAAAGAGAAGGTATTTCTTCAAACACAGTGGTGATTAGAATCGTAAAACTGTTTATCTGGTGCTTCTTTCCTCTTCCTTCCTTCCCCTCCCCAAGATTTTCTTTTAAACACAGCAATAGATTTTATCCCCAGATGACATCTACTTTTTCCTAGCTATTTTTTGTTTGTCTGTGGTTTGTTTCTCTAGAACAGAAAATAAAGCTGAATAATTTCATCTAAACTACATTAGTTGTTCAGTGTTTTGCACTGTTTTTAGCAGGCAGGCTAAGTGTTTGTTAGAAAACATGTTTTGACAAAGGAGAAAAGTAATTTCCAGCTAGTTCTAGCTGTAAGAAAGGTGAGAGCTCTACATGGCTCACTGAGTCTGTAACTGTATCAGAGATTTAAAAGGTGCCAATTTAAGATCTAATCCCAAAGCCCTTGCATGAGTGGTCCCATTAAAGGGAGAACAAATTTACTCTTTGCCCTCATAGATTTATACTGGTTGTCAATATAAGCAAATGAGAATGAAAGAAACTTGGAACCACAGCCTGTTCTAAATTGCACCACTTCAAAGAAACTCTCCAGGAGTGGAAGGATGGGCTTTTCGTTACCGTTGGCAACACATGGAATTGAGTCAGACAGATACAAGTTTTATGTTAACAAAGGTGGTATAATTTTATACACTCTAATATCTCTGAATGGTACAATACCTTTCAAAGACAAAAGTTAGAATGGCTCCTTCATAATGCACTCATAGTAGCTGCTAGGTATGGATTCAACTCTTCATTAGCTGATGAGGTTTAAACAAACCATTTCTATAAGCGACTCTATCTGGACGCTACATTTTGTAATCATCTCAGTGATGTCTGTGTGTAAGCATCAAGGCAATGATTGCTTGATTGTCAATGTTCCATCACTTATAATATTTCTAAAGTAAACAACTCCCTCTCCATTGGGAAATACTATCTAGGCTAAATCAAACTGTGAAGTACTAAAAGAAAGCTAGCCTCCTCCATATTAATCCTAAACCATTTATGATGGACAAAAGCATTTAGTTTCCAGATCTAATGAGACCTGTGTGTTCTAAAGCAACTCTTTAATTGATAAGTGAGGAGATGAATGACCTGGTTTGTATCATGAAGAAAAAATAATGTGCAACATCGTGTTTCCAAGCCAGTTAGAGTGTGGAAGAATTCTTGACTCATACTTTGAGTGTCAAGAGGTACATTGCCTGAATGGGTTTCACCATTCCTTGGGCACCTGGCTCAGAAAATCCTCTGCATATTGTGTATTTGGAAAAATAGAAGCCAAATCATGTTTGTCTGGTTCTCCCATATGCTAAAGCTTCTTAAATCTACAGTAAAGCCTCCTTAATAGGGATGTAAATTACAGTCATACTATGACACCTTAAACAATGCACAGGAAACTGGTATATGTGAAAATGAGACCTGCTGAGTGACACTCTCTTGTGAAAATCTGGCTATTGGTGACAAGAGGAGACAGCAAGAGGATGGAAATTGTCTCTGAATCTTAGAAAATGTACTGGTGTGGGCAGAGCAAGATGCTGACCATATTTTATTTAGATGTAATGTAAACCTAGCTTCCACATAATACAATCCTGATCTAAAGGCTGTTGTGTTAGAATGCATATTGTACCCATATTTCCAGTCAAGTTTGTTCCTTACCGATAAATAACAAAATTGAGATAAGACTACTGAATCCCAGAGGAATAAGCACAGAGTTATGCTTTAAATAGACAAAGAAATCCACTGGAGAATAAGATCCTACTGTCTACTCAGTCCATGAGAACAGAAGTGAATTAAACTCAGGGTCAATCTCTCTGTAAGCCCTGTACTTATTCCTGCCAACATACAACTCGGTGCCGCAAACCACCTCACCCCTCAGTTCAGCACCACTCAGTCCAATGAACTGAAAAGAGAGCTTCCCTCTACAATCAGCCTCCCAGCCTCACTACCCATTAACTACTCTGAGCATTTCCAGATTTCCTCTTATTTCCTATTTCCTCATTGGTTTCAATCCTGCTTCACAAAATGGTAAAGCTCCTTCTGAGTTAACCTCAGAAAAGGGATCTTAGCCCCTGATGGGTTTTCAGCAGCTCTTGGCAGTGGCCTAAATTCAATTTCCTTGAGCAACAGTAAAAATTTTCACCAACAGCACCAAGAGCAGTATTAGGTGCTTCAGATAACCCCACTTCAACTCTGCAACAGCGTTTTTCTCTGCACTGCACTTTGCAGTCCTCTTTGCACTACAGATGCCATATATATTACAAATCACAGACAGACGGGAATCCTACAGCATTTCTTGGAAACCTTTTTCCCCACAAAAATAGAAAGACAGCCAAAGAGCACAAAGATGTTTACCCTCCCAGAAAGAGCAGCAGTTCTTTTTTTGACTAATGCTGGCTTTGCACATGAACTCTGATTAACTCCTGTTAAGCCTCGTTGTTTGCAGATTGCTCCCATTTCCCACCCTCAGTCTCTCCACCAAGCAACAAAAACCCCCACATATTCAAGGAAAAAAGTAGGATCAGAAAAGGAAAAAATAAGAGGAGTTTTGTTCTCACTTTCTGAAAGGCACATGTTTCTTTAGAGGCAGAGATGACAAGGTGTTCATAATGTTTGCTGACCTGAAAGAAAATTGTATTTCCAGAAGTGTGAAGAAAATCTGTTCCATTAATTCATTTGCATTTTATCCCCCATAACATTAGGAACATAACCCTTTCTCTTTCTCCCATCCGATGACATTCCACATCACAGCTAGGCTGAGGCCACTGTCATGCCCCATTAAGCATTAGGGGACTTTTCTCAACCAATACAAGTATTTAAACACTCCCTAGAAAACACATTAATCAAATGGATCCACAGTTGTGTAAAATCAAAGTTTTTAAGTGTACCATATTTAATAAGAAATGGGCTGTCAAACTTCAACATGCCAAATTCGTATAGCTCATTGAACCTCCTGGCTTATGAATAACACGTAGAAGCACAGTCCCTTTGATATGTCTACTTTTTTTGATATTTTTGTTTCCTTAAAAAATATTCAAAGCTAAAATCTAAATATAGAAGCAACAGACAAAATTTAGTGCAGAATGTAACCTGGAGCAGGGTGATAAAGCCCATGGTCAGATCAGAAAACGACTGATTCACCTGTGTGAGAAAACTAATATATATATATATATATATATATATATATATATATTCACATGCCCCATAAAATTTATGGCTCCCATTTTAAAACAAAGGTGACAAATACTTGTACAATTTAGAAAATGGACCACTTTTCATGATCTAGCAAAGACACATGCAGCATGCTGTGTTCCAATTACAAACTAAATGGTACGCATTCACTGGCAAATGGGAAACGGAAAATGATTTGCTTTGAATGCCTTGCATCATGAGAATTTCAAGTGGCACAGTACAGAAAACATCTTCAGCATGCATTTAATCTACACAGATCAATGCTTGGGGCTTTGCACATGAATTAGAGACCGGCACATCAAATACTCCTGTCCCATGCCACAATAACAGCACTACCCAGCCCCACAATAAATCATTCATTCATTCATAAGCCTCTAGTTGCTCTGTGTTTTCTGTTGCTAGAAGCTCCCAGGAAGATCTGTCACTTCTGAACTCATGTGTGTAAACACGGCATGGGCTCACCTTTAATGTGACTGGCTGTAGCTGAATTAGAAGTCACATTATAAACATGGGTAAGAGACTCCAACACTGGACAGAATTACTGTGTTTTTCTAGGGAGTGCCTGCCTTTTCTCCATTTAATCTCCTGTGGCATTGGACCAGCCCGATATAAGAGGCAGCAGAGAGAGTCAGACTCTGATCCCTGCAGTATGGGGGGGAGTAAAAGAAAGCAACTTTAAGGCAATAGCACAGGAAAGGCAATGGGGCCAGCATCTGTTGCTGGGAGGTCAAAAGCTACTAGAACACTGTTCCCTGATTCATTTCTGGCTTACATCGTTCTAACTGCATGAGCTGCGAGAGTTGTCCCAAAAAAACAGCTCCACTAAAATTAAGACAGTTACCTAAAATTTATACCAGGACCTGAATCTATCAAATGTGTGTCAAGGTAAGAAGAACATATGTAATTACAGGAAAGACAAACAAGGAAAATAAGGTCTTAACTAGGTGAATAATCAAGAGAAAGCAACACTCAATTTGAGTTCATACCATCCTGCTTCCATAAAAATGAAACAAACCTCAATGTTTGCCTGAATATGAGAGGGGAAAAAGCCCTTCACCACATTTATCCCTCATCCAGCACCAGCTTCACAGCTCATCTTCCTGCAGGGAGGTTAACAAAGTTGATGAAAGAAATAGAATATGCATCCTGCAGCTCGTGTTTCAAAAACAAAAAGGTGTGCCCACCAGCAAGGGAACTGGTTTAGCAAATCCAAACCCGTGCAAACAGGAAAAACATGCACAGAGGCTTCCAAGAGAAAAAAGAAAACAGTAGAGCTTTCAAAATCCCTGCAGAGTCAGGATAGCCTCGAGAAAAAAGTAAGGTGCTGAAATAACTCCTCTGTCCTTTTTTGTCATCATTTGAACGGAGTACAAGAAGGGCCTGAGGCAGAGCTACCAGCCAGGAGCAGCTCGCCAGCACAGAGGAGAGATCCTGCAGTGGACAGCTTGTGCAGCGATGTGGGGACCTCCCCACAGCAGCGGTTCAACACAACCCTTAGGTGTAAAGGAGAGAGATTGCTCACCGACCTGCTGAATATGGGCACAGACAGAAGCTAATTTCTAATTGCTGTCTGGTTCTACATCTCCTTTCATTGACATCACTGTAGTATGGAGTCTGTCAAATGAGGTCAAGCTACCAGAACTTCTACTCAAGATTTTGCCCCTAAATAAAGGCTGCTATCAGCTACATCATAAGGAAATAGATTTCCTCCCCCACCAAAGCTGCAAAATAAGTTGTGTATTGCTCTTAAGTGGAAGAATGGAGAGTCATGGAGGTAAGAATCAAACAACATGTGATGCCAAACATTGAA